GTTGAAAACGTTAGGATGCGACAACCCTGTACTAAGAATGGCTATGGCTAAAGCTGGTCCAGTCATAACTGACAACGAGAATTTCATAATTGATGCAAATTTCGGATTGATCCATAATCCCGATAATTTAATGAGAAAGATTAAGATGTTGACAGGAGTCGTCGACAAGATGCATAAGTTTATTTATCATTGTAATTGTTGCTATCATATTGTTATCAAAGAGAAAATTCAAAACAAATAATTATTTTTGTGTAACACTATAAAATTGCAAGTCAGTGAAATGTCCAGTGACTGTTTTGGGATTCTTGCAGTGTCTTTCCATCATCAGGCTTGAATATTCTTGGAAGTCTGCCGTGCTGCTGGGAATCTGGGTGACTTTTGTTTTACTGGTAGGAGGCAGTGTTGTTACGGCGAGCTGATCAGCTGACGTCAATAAGCAAGTCACATGGTAAAATCTTCCTTAAACAACGCCCCTGACGATCAATTATTAATAATTAGATGTTACTCAAAGCAAACGCGAGTAACGCGATTTTGGTGACAGTTTTGAACACAAGAATGTAGCTAAGAATAAAATATAACGCGAGTAACGCAATTTTGGTGACAGTGTGGGAAAGATAGAAAATACGCGCTCTGTGGCATAGAAAATCTAGTAACAGCAAAAATGTATATAAGGAGCCGTCCCGATTATCAAAATCCTTATGCTATGTTATGTTGAAAATGTTGAAATCGTTGATGTTATAAAATAAATAATATTCGATACTGAAGTATTCAGATATAATAAGCGATCGATCTGATCTTTATCCTTTAATTATTATGAAACTTTTTACTTTCATTATTTCTATTGTCGTGAAACTAAACTTTTTGACTTAACTATCAGCAGTAGCTGTATTTAAACGTTAGTTGTCAGCGCAATAGATCGGTAACGATCCGTAGTTGCGGTAAAGCAAGAGTATCTCGATTGATAATTTAAATTCTTTGTTGTTATAATTAGATAAGTGACATCCCTTGACTAGTCAAAACACTAAATCGAAGTTCGCCCTGTTTTAAAATTAGTAAAAAAAACTTCCCCTTCGATTCCGCGGTAGATAGATTGTTGTTGTTTATTTATCGTGGGTACCCTTATTAGATACGAGTATAGGAGAAATACATCGTATAGGGAGTGAAGAGAAGCGCGGCATATAAAAAAATTATCGTCACTTTCAATTTAGTTCAGTCTTAAGTGAGCAATCATTGGAGTAAGGGCAGCGACAAGAACTAAATTGTGAAAACCCCCCTCTCGGCAGAACACACCTACGCAATTAATTGCTCTCCCAACCCTATTTTGGACGCCGACCATAACAGGTGGTGGGGATTCTTATGAAGACGAAGTACCATTTACACAACCGCTCCCACTTATGGACCTCCCCCACCCCCTGTAGTCAAGGAAGATGACTTCGAGAATGGAAACCCCATCCTCTCCTCCTCCCTCGAATTCCAACAGTTTATGGAACGGAGTGCACACCCACCCCATACCATAATCTGTCTGGAGGGATCCATTCCCCTCCCTCCCCCTCTGCAGGAAGATCCAACAAAAAACACAAGAAAAAGAACCAATCATAACCCCTTACTAGTCTTTTCCCCAACCATGGGTTTACTAGCATAGATGCCCCTACTAGCTTTCATTCTCATGTTTCTAGAATGAAAGTTACTATTTGGTTTTGGGTAGTAGTACTCATTAGGACTTTTCTCTTTTTCTTTAGATAGTTAGACTAGCCCTCCTTTTTGACTTTATCACATGTAAATACTGTTTTTGATTTAAAAAACAGCCGTAGCTGTGTCAATAAAGGACCACTAAATCAGGAGCCATCTACTCGGGAATATTATTTAGTTTTCTACTATGAAATACGTGCGATGCTGGACACATTTATATGAAATGACGAAGATTTAAAGTACTTTCAGTATAGCAACTTTTATGATATTAAACAGATCAGAGCTGGTGGTTACGGAACAGTTTATACTGCCAAGTATAAAAAGTATTCAGAAGTACGGGAACTGTTGTGTTAAAACGATATAATAATAAGAATTTTGATCAGTGTCAGATTTCCGTCTGTGGTACAAACGATCTACGAAGGCTGCGGCATTCCAAATCCCGGTGTAACGAACGCAGTAGTGCGGAATACGCCGATGACAAAGAAACTGGACCAATTAAGCAGTACATAGTCACTCTCGATAAGTCGGACACTCATAAGTCGGATTTGGCTTACTTTGTCTGGTTTTGTTGCAGCATGCCCCATTTAACAAAATGGCTATTGAAATCGACGGATTACTCGACAAGAAATTTTTATCTTCGAAGAACAACCCACGGAAAAAATCTATTATGGCAATTCGAGTTTGGCTTGATGAAGAAAAGAAGAAAAGTGTAAATGAGGCACACAAAGATAGAGTTTTATAACGTAAATGCTGATCAAAAACCGTCAAATTCAAGGAGAGGCGACAAGAACGATGCTGTCTTATATCAGGACAATAACGCTACAATTATATATTAACAGTCCTTTCGACCCACGAAGATTTGACACAACACATCATATGGGAGATATAACGAAACTACCACGTAACGGAGTGGATGATTTAAATTATTACTTCTTACAATATGAAAAATTTTCCATAACAACCGTGAAAAAATTCAAATCCGTCGGCATCCATGGTTATAGTAGGTGTTTTCCTTTTTTTTTGCATGAATTGGTTCCCATTTTGTAGTAAGACTTACCTAACTTCTATAATAGTAATATTTACAGATTTATTTAAATTTGTGAAGCAAGGAGTGATCTGGATAATCCTGTGAAGTGTAGGGGTTTTGCGCCATTCAAAAGCTCAAGTGAGTTTCTATGACGCAAAGAATATCTGAAAATCATATCAATCTTATCATATTTCATACTAATACTAATACCTCTTCTCCAGAACCATACTTCTATATTCCACCCATTTCATTGGGCTATCTTGAAGGCTGGCTCAAAGTCACCATCTTAGTATTAGTATAGCCATAGAAAGTAAAAAAACTAATAATAATAATTTGTGGTTGACTGAAATATTTTTATTCATTATCAGTATAGATTGGTTTGGGACAAGTAATATCCTTGTATTTGTCTCTAACAAATGGGCGAATATTATGATAAAGATATTCTTGTCTTTTATAATCCAAAGGAGGCGGAGTTAGAACTAGGATGGAAAAAGATTTAATTTCTTTGGCAACACTTGCTTTTCTAGTTTTCAATAAATTAAATTCTGTACAAGCACCATTAGTGGCTTTGACAATTCCAGGATTGAGCTGCTTCAAAGAGAAAATGCTGATACTTTTGTAAACCATTTAATTTTTTAAAGAAAATTTCCAACACAGAGTTAAAATCTAAGTACTGAAAACCTTTTCCATTTTCGTAACGCTGAGCTTTATTTAATCCAGCTGTACTAGTACTTGATTTTTCACAACCTCAACAATATGCTTTGCACAATCTACCGCGGTTTTTCGCCCAAAACTATCATCAAAATTGAATTTAGTATGTCCAGATACCTAATACCATGAAATTTAATTTGGGACATGTCTAAAGCGGAGCAGATCTCTCGCGATTTCATTGGTCAAATTTGTATGGCAGCCAATAAAACTGTAAATGCGGAATCACGTTCTACTCCGCTTTAGCCTTTTCCTAAGTAAAATCAATGGTAGCATTATTTTTATTCTGACCACCCGCATTATCACAAGTAATCTTTAAATGCTTTTCGTCTTTATTCAATCGCTTAATTCCATCGAATACCAGGCTCAGCGTACCATTAGGATCTTTCCCTATTATTTCATAATAGATAAACAATACATTAATTAACGATGCTAAAAATAAATCAATTAGTGAGTCAAAAGATATAAAGCAGCGTAGTTAAGACTTAGCATCAGTGTATTCGCAGTGTTCAATGATATCGAAGACAGTCGATACACATACTATTCTTATTAATAAACGAGTATTCATTTACTCAACATAGTCCTTTGCTTGAACAATCCATTATATTTAAAGCACTAATCTGTACAAAAAAAAGGCTGATCGTAATACTTGTCTCGCGGCCAACTTAGTGGCATTACGACAATGAATTATTACTGTTCTCAACGCGTTAGTAAGAACCCCAACGGTAGAGAATCGTAATCGATCTCGAGGTTAGTTAATTATTTAGGATTAGTATCGTCAGTGCGATAAAGCCTTATTTAACAGGTCATTAAATATTCGTCCTAGCTACCGCACTCGTGACCGTTGACGCTAAGAGAAGAACAATGTTAAAATAGCTTGAACTTGTGAAATGGCAGAGTGTTCAACCTCTTTGCCAAAACTTACAATTGCTGGAAATTAACTCTTTGTATTACTACTACTACTGCATATAATGAAGTTTACAAATTCCCCAATCCTAAGTACACGTGAAAGATTCATCCTGGGTCAGTCAAGGCAGCGAGCATAAAGGAAACCCCGCGGAAACTTTCACTTGGAAGGCAGCATGCTCAATAAATTCTCATGACAGTTTTGTGAAAGCACTGGGACCTTGTTCAAAAATTTTCTTCAGGAGCTTGAGAACAGCCTTCACTTTCCCACAAGCAATGTTTGGTCATGTGATATAAAAATAATAATTAATCAAGTGATTATCTACTCACATATCCGCGACAATGCCTCTTGCAACCTGCAGTAATGAGTACCTCGCGCGCTAACCTAATTCAATCAGCAGTCAATTTCCTACGAGACCCCGCTGTCCAGAATGCTCCGCTTCAGAAACGAGTCTCTTTCCTAGAGTCCAAAGGTCTCACTTCCGAAGAGATCGAAGAAGCATTGAAACAGGCCAAAGGAGGAACGCCAGCGTCACAGACAGAGGGAAGCCAGGCCGCAGTCGTTACTGCCGCTGCACCTCCTGGCCAACAGGTTGTGTATGCTGTACCCCCACCAGTTCCGCGAATGGACTGGCGAGACTATTTCATTGCTGCTGTAATAATAGGAGGTGTAGGGTATGCTATTATCGCCGTAATAAAGGCAAGTAATTTTACTCTATCTCGCAATACGCACACCAGTTTAGTTTGTTCATTGCTTACAAGAGAGTACGTGAGCATGTCCGCTTATTGTAACATTCTTATCCCGCTCTTTAGAAATATGTAGCACCACTTCTAGGGACACCAACTGCCGCAGAACTAGAGCGTGACAAACGGGCACTGACATCCCAATTTGATACTGCAACAGAAACACTTGATACGGTTAAATCTGACACCCAGGTTGCACGCAAACATGTCGAAGAACAATCGGCAGTAATAAAACAATCGCTCGAGAATCTTGATACTCTTCTTAAAGCCGTAAAAGATAACGATGAAAAACGAGAAGTTGCGATCAAGTCTCTCAAGGAAGAAATCGATGCCATAAAAGATTTACTCCCAAAACTTCTTGAAAAGTCAAAAGAGTCCCAATCTCAGCAAATGAATGATCTCCAGCAAGAGTTAAAGAGTTTAAAGTCATTATTATTAAATCGGGGGAGCGTAGCGGTGCAGGCGCCTGGTTCGGCGACAAAGAGAACGTCTAATATTACTTCGATTCCACAAAAAGGTGCCACGGTATCCATCCCATCCTGGCAGATGAAAGAAAACAACGGTATAGGTGGAGGTAGTAAACCTACAGAGCAAGAAGATGAAATGAATTATGCAGCTGCTGGGACAAATGGGGCGTTAACTGAAAATACAGTAGAATGATGAGATTTTTGTTTTTGATGAGGACGGAAGAAAAATTTTTTATTAATGTTTATGACAATTTAAAATGACAGAACAATACAGATAGGCATGGAACAGTTGTTATGTATTTTTGTTTGGCGAATTGATTCATTCTGGTTGTATCAACTGACAAAGCTGCTCCTGAATAAGCACGCCTGTGTGTATATACATCATAGTTATGTGAGGGAGGTGAGGGGGAGCAGACGATTTCATATAGTCCTTGTCTTTTTACTTACCCATGGTGTGTAATGCTGGGCCATCCATCCGACCCAAAATTTCTTGCATATCGCGCTCTTGATAGTGATCGAATGCAAACATATTTATTGCCTCCAAAAGCTCCTGGATAATAGAGCAGTATAGTTATACCCCAAGGGATGGCCGTTTAATCATCTTACTATTTACTTACCGATGATGGCGAATCAGGGTCATCTCCGAGCTTGTTCTGGTCTTTGTCATCTGTGATTGAGGAAGATTCGGATGGAAGAGGTTCTATAGGCTGTGTATTTTGTTCTTTATCCAAACCTGGGTCGTTTTGTGTGGTTGCATCTATTGGAGCATCTGATACATAACCATGTCAGAGATGCTAATAACCATTGATCCCTTTGGGGTACATGGAAAAAAAAAACTTGGTCATCTTTACCGGGAGTCCCAGTGTGTGGTTTTGTTCTTATGTAATACTTATTTTTATACAATCGTGGAGAGTCTATGAGAACAGCAGACAGCTTTCTTGATCCCGGTTTTAAAAAATTGGCTGCATCCTTTTTTGTTGGAAAGTGAGACACTAGATTCCAAGAGGCATCGTATATGTATATAGGAACCCACATTTTGCAAAACAATGAGATGGACAAAGAGAAACAGCAATTATAATAACGTCGTACGTTGATCTCATTGGTGGATGTCATCATTGCATCATACAATAAATAGTGGGCTATCCTCAGGATAGAGGATGGGGCCTTTTCTAAGACAATATCGTGTATCCAATTAAGGAATCTCTAACAAGTATCTATTGATTAGCTATTAACATTATTTCTATAAACTTGTGGCTGAAACGTCTTTGGTTGTTTTAGAGGGTCTGGGCCTCGATCTCAAAAACGACCAGGCGACCTGTTGACTGTTCTCGTTACAAAATCTGACGGTTACTGGGTCGCCGTCTTTTGCGGGTGCAGCTAGGCATTTGTTCTTGTGATTGTAAGGGTGAAGAGTGAAAGAATCCTATGACCAAATAATATCACGATTAAAATTTATAATAACGATTGGAACAGAGACGGGAGCTACCTACCTCAAAATACGAATCATCCCAACACCATCCCGAATTTTCCGGATTATGTACCGTATTCATTCGTACTGTATTAGTATCTTTATCCCACCAAAGTCTAGAAATAAACAAACACACATTTGTATGGTCATTCTGCATTCTCTCCGAGCCTATTTATGCAAATCTGTTTACCTACACGGTTTTCCCTGGTCCATATATAACAATCGGATGCATGCAAGTCTCATAACTTTGATGGACAAAACTAATAGAAAAGCTCATTTGCGTTCTGGTATGTTTATATACATCGCATGTCTTCAAATACATGGGATCGCTTGCAGCGTCCAAACATCGCCAAAGGTATTCTGATAAATTTAAAAGTCAATGCATGTATTATGAACTAGGCAGTCACCTCCCAATACAATACTTAACTGTTTTCGAGAGTATTGGCTATTATGTCTGGTTCTTCCGCACCATGCCCGGAAACTCGTGTTAAGAAAGCAAACGCAACCAAGATAAATACAGCATTGAATCGCATTTCCTTTAACGTTTACCGATGAGTGAGGATTGTCAAAAATAAGTTTGATGTGTGAGAGAATGCTGTGGTACCACCAAAAACTTCAATTAGCCGTTTCACAATATGTATTAGTCATTTACCTTTTGGAGACGTCCGTTCATCAAATATGTTCTCTGGCCTTCTCCTGAAATTGAAAATTTGAAGATCGCACACATTGCCCATATTTTCATCTTAACTCTTCTTTCATAATTTGGCATGTTGAAAAATTTAAACTTTCTTTTTGACACAAGAATCAGAATGTGTTATATGACTGTTCGCTATCTAAATGCAAGTATATTCGATTATGCTACCAGCTGATGGGAAATGCGAGAAGTAAACATCTTACATGTTATCCTTTTGGGTGTCTCCTCGTCAATCGCAAATATTATAATAAAATACAGGATATGCAAAATCGGCCTTTGCGGCAAGAAATTCTTTAAAATAAACCCGCAGAAAATTTTTATTATTCCGTTTTATCGAAGCGGTTTGATCGACAGCATGGTTTCTTGTGACGACATGGATACTATTTACAGTAAACCAGTTGACCTCGCTATCAACAGACGTGCCAATAAAAATTTTCACATGTTTATTGTAAATACACTGATGTCTTCAATTTGATGTATTCAAACCGTTCTTAGAAACGTTCATATTCAATGGTTATGTTTTAGCCTGATTTGGTGAATACAGTAATAAAAGAAATCCAAATTTAACACGTATCAGCTTGCTTTAATTATATTGCCCATTTCAAACAAAACCAAAAAGAAAGAACCCAATAATATAGCAGTTATGAAAAACTTTCACTAGTAAAAAGCAAGAGCAACAAACCGATTTTAGCAACTCAAAACTATCGCGGATGTAAAAACTGCGATAGCATAAACACTTACACTCTAGCCTGTCAGCTTTGCTAGTAAAAAACGGCAGTAGCCTAAATCAGACGATCAATTTTTGCGATAGACCCTGGCATTATTCCGGGGGTATTATGCAAAAATAGTAAAATACTCGGCACGCTAAATTGACAATATAAAATCAGTCAGGCTGGTTGCGATTAATCATCCGGGATCTAGCCCTTGTCGTATAGAGAAATAGTAATGTATAGTTAACTATTGGCGTTGCTGTTACATAATCCGATGTATCAAGCGCAATATATATACGTGCGTTGTTCTTCGAGTTTTGAAAACCTTCCCTCCACGCAAATCTTGAATGATTTTCCAATGTATACAAAAATTCTTGCAATCATTTTTGAAAACTACGTTCATATGAAAGCCTTTTGGCCCCCAAATGCAAACCTAACTACTAACCAGATTTTGGCAACGGAAGGATTAGTAGGATTGGCTTTCGCTCGGATTCTTCCTTTATTACTAAATGTTTTCAACACGGGACAATCTTTACTTTATATTTACATAATGTATCAACAAGACAATGGTGTGTTACCAATCCTACCTGATGCGAGCCACAAGTTTTCGGAATGGCATTTGCTAGATGTTATCTGGTTTTTGGGCACTGCTGGAGGGTCTTCGTTAAGATTGTGGTGCTTTCAATGCTTGAAAGAATTTTTCACTTTCCATGTTACTATCAAAAAAAATCACAAATTGATCACCACCGGTCCATACTCTTTACTAGTTCATCCTTCGGTGAGCATGTTTGTTTTTGTTTTTTTTTTCAGACCATTATTTATTAATGCCATACCCTAATTACACAGTATACTGGCGCTGTCATGATGGTTGCTAATTATTCGATGACATATCAACTGTTGTATTACCTTCCGTCGCTTGATTGGGGAGTAGTTTTGATTCTTGCTTTTTCTGGGAGTAGTATTATAATAGCTCAAATTTTGACGTATAAACGCATTACTTACGAAGAACAAGCATTGAAAAACCATTTCGGAAAAGCCTGGGATATTTACTTTAGTCAAAGGAAACGATTTATACCATTTATTATTTAGGACTTGCATATTTTTGTTAAATCTGTATTAAAATGTTCAATATCTGCATAACATAGTCGATCTCGATAAGTCGGTAAATACGGGCTCTTATCGAGAACACGTTAATTCAATGTGTAGACTATCTATAGTTTACATTGTTTGTTTTACGCATTGATTTCTTTTCTATTTGGCGTTGTAAGAAGCTAACATCCTCTATTATTGTAAAAATTCCGTATATTCTATAACGACGCAAACATTTGTTGTGGTCATCTCACTGAACCAATAGTTGCAACTTATATTATACTCTTCCAAACTGCTGACGCAATGTCTTATAGTAACTGTTTAATGACTACTCTAACTTTAAAGCTTTCGTCTGGCAACACAATCACAACTGAGCATAACAACTGTGAAATTTGCGTGTTAATAAACTACCATTATTATTATTACTGTCCGTAGTGATTAAATAATCTGTCATCTATAATGAAAAGGAGTACAGGTGTTCCTTAGACAAACGCGTTTATTTTAATGAATTGTTTGTTGAAGCACATGTTGCCCCTTCCTTAACACAAGTCATTCTGAAACCGTTCACATATCGCACAATACACAAACTTATCTGAATGTAAGACGTTAATTGATGCGCATCGTGCGTATATATTCGACCTAATAAGATATCTTACTATTGTAAAGGAAGACATAGTTTCTCAAAAAAAAAGCCTCTTGAGGATCTCGTCGTAATAATGCTATGCCCATCACTCGAAAAACACATTTAGCTACGTATAATCACGTGGCAAGATTTATGTGATACGAAATTACTAAACTACATCCTTAACACACGTGATCATAACTATAAATATTTATGAAGGCAGCTGGCGCATTATCCTTTGATACCTCTCTTATACATCTAAATAATTCTAATATTCAGCGCTATGACTTACTATGCACTTTATCGAAAAAGCAGGTGAGTTTCTAAAGGTGTCTGGGGGCGTGTTCCACAGAGCCGATTGAGTGACATGCAGTGAACTTGTAGTATTGGCATGGCTTTAACCGATTCGCTTGACGAGTTGATCCAGCTGGACAAGATCACTCCTCAACTAGCGTTGAAAGTTCTTGCACAAGTAAGTATATGGCACGAAGACGAGAAGATCTTGTTATTCAGTTTTACCTATTGCCATCTGACTAACTCATCTATGCTTTTGCGAGACAGTTTGACAAGAGTATAACAGAGGCATTAGATGGCAAAGTAAAAACCCGGGCTACGTTCAAAGTATGTAGAAATCACAGTGCTTGCACTGCACGAGTCGTATCATGTGTTTCATATTTGAGTCATCTCTCTAGTGGTGCGCATGCTTTGACGTATTATATACGTGTACTTACCTGTACTTTTTTTCTTCAACTAACAGCAAGGAAGCCTGCGGACTTATCGTTTTTGCGATGAAGTCTGGACGTTCATTATTAAAGACCCAAATCTCCGCATAGAGCATGAGCAGCTGCATGTTGATAAGATCAAGATCGTGGCTTGTAGCGCCAAAAAACCTGGAGAGGCGGAGAAATGAGCTGGGACGTTTTAATAACTTCTGTCACGTGCGTTGAACTGCAACTGTTGTATTAGAAATAAAATTGTTATTCCAAATATTAACTAATATAATAAGGGACTAATCATGTTTAATTGGTTGATGAAATGATAGAGATTATCATAATAAATAGACAAAAATTATGAACGTAAAGTATTCGCGAGGAAATGACGGTTTGTGTCAAAGGTGTTGCTCTCACTTCTAATGGCTGAGCGAATGCAATCAGTGGGTTGGCGTGCGGTTAATTGTTTTAATCGAAAGAAGATTGAACTCTGAAGCAGACATGTAAACTTGTAAAATGCAAAATTGGATGAATCTCTCCATAAGGAAATAAAGCATTCATCAAAACCAGTTCCTTATAGAACTTGGAAATTCGTGATTTGATTTTTGCTTTCTAACTCGTCTAATCGTGTATAGACGTTTACAATGTTTTTTAATGATATACTCATGGCTCTTATTGTATTCGGTAATTGACTGGATATTAAACTTTACAAACAAAACATAATGTATTTTTATTTGTTTGTAAAACGACGCGTCAACTTTATAACGTAACGCGTCGATGGAAAGAAGTCGCCATTTGATTGACTTTTAATTTCAGTAGTAGTATTCATCAACAACATTACGTTAATACCATTGAGCATGATCTTGAAATCATTTTCTAAAATCGAAGACTATTATGTTTGACTCCATTTTTATTTGCCAGATTTATTGAACAACCGGTTCTTATATGCATAACGTTTACACAATTTACAGTTGATGACACACGAACGCAAACTCTTTGAAAATAAACTTGGTAGGCGTAACTCACTAAGAAGGTAAGATAATTACTATGATGTGTGAGAACGAGTCATCTGAGAATGAGTTTCCTTTATGCGCGTATGACAAATAGAGCCGCGTAGCATGGGTTTAATTCTGTTCTATATAGAGCGCACTGTTCTCCTTTACGTCACAATGGAAAGATCATTAATATTAGCAAACACATAATTCATACAATAAACTCTATGGTCTAATGTTCATTTATAGTTTAGAATAAGACGCATACCGTATATCTAATATACTATATACGTTTAATGTGAAGCACTAATTATGATCCGGCTGCTGGGCATGCTATGCAAGTATGCAAGGGACTCGTGTGGATAGACTATAAAAACTGAAAATATATCGTTTATTATGTACGGTCAATGCTTTAATAGTAGGTAAACCATGTTCTTCATTAACTGTAATTATAATAAATGCCAAAGCTTGCTGCTAACAAGAAGTGAAAACAAATAATGAAAAAAAAAGTAAGTCAAGTTTTTCTCAAACTCAAATGAGAAATGGAATCTTCCCATTAACTACCTCTTAGAGGAAATTAAAGTATAACGTATCGTTTATCTTTTTATTATTAACAACGCCAATGTTTGGTCAGGAAAACCAACGAGAATATCATCGAAACTTATTATTCCTTGAGAAGTTGTCAAGCTGCAAGAAGTAGTTTTGCGCAGTGCATGTGTCTTCATTTTCTAATATTCACACGTAATAATTAGCCACATAGAGATCAGCGTACGTTGTTCAAGTCGTTCGTTAACCGGTTCTAGATTAGAGCTAACGATAATGGGTAAGTGTATTGTGTTCCACCTTGCGCCTCTGGGAAATGATGACAAGGAAGTATGCCGGAATATGTCATAACGTGGGGTTAACAATTGCGTCAGGACGAAGTAATATTTACGCAAAGATCGATATAAACGAGAAAATGATAAATTGATGGCCATCCCATCCTCCCCCTCAGTGTTATTTATCGATAGGAAAAAAAAGAAGAAAAATGGATACTAGAATACGCTTTTCGCTAGTTATAGCTATATTTCTTAGCTTATATGTATTCTGTTGCCACGCAAAGATGACAGATGTAAATAGTAAGTTAACTGCAAATGCTTCTATTTATGCAATAAAAGACTTGTCATTAATGATTTATTTCACAAACATTTGAAAACAGGTCAACGAAACCCAGATGTTTGGTCTCCGCGTGAGTTGAAAGAGTGGTTGGCCGAACATAGAGTAGTTTATCGAGGAGTCCCAGAGAAAGATGAACTAGTGGTCTTGGTGAAAACTAATTGGAGAGATTCAGATAGTACTTTGAAACAAACTGCCGATATGACTGCGTCTTATGTTGATGAACTCGTGAAATATCTGGAAAGTTGTAAGTAATATCTAAATGTTGATAAGAGCGGTCGCGTGTTCCGTTATTAGTCGTTGTTGATCTACAATATTTTTGCAGATGCCGTCAAGGGTAAGGAAATCACAAAAGACAACGCGAATGCGGCAGCTGAGCAGATTGCTGCAAACGCGGAAGCGATACGAACTCGCCTTGGCATCACCGAGGATAAAATGTCGTCAGCCCTTAGTCAAGTGAAATCTCGCATCTCGGGAGCCAAAGATGCAACAAGCAAGCAAATCGGCAATACACTCGATGACATCAGTCAATCATATGCTAATGCTAAATTCAAGAGAGACGAGATAATAAACGAAGCGACAAAGCGTATCGAGGCAGACTACAAAAAATCAAAAAAAGTCTCTAAAGATACTGTCCAGTGGCTCAAGGACCGAGTCGACGAATTGAGTAAGGCCCCCGGATTCGCCAAGGCGAGAATCCAAACTCAAACTATACTTATTCTCCACGGCATTGAAGAACGTCTGGTTTCTAGCATGAAGTCATCAGCCAAAGACGTTGAAAAAATTGCCAATCAACTATCATCTGCACTTGGCGAACCATATGGAAAGACGAAGAATCTGTTCAGACGTATTGGCAGTGGGATTTATAACACGTTTGGTATGTACCTTTTGCCGATAAAATAGTTTCGAAATCCAAACGCACACGATTGGAAAACTGTTAACATTATCTCTTTTTATACAAAGCTGGAGCATGGCGTGCAGTTGTCTACGTCAAGAGGAAGGTGGTCGACGGAACGGAATACACGATAAACCGACTTGTTGCTGTAAAGAATGGAGTAACACATTTCGTTGGTAGAATTACGGGTAAAGCTAAACAGACTGCTGTCGAAACCAAAGAAGCTCAACAAGAACGATTTGCTCACTTGACCGATTACCTACGAGACACTGTCAAGTCTTCTAAAGAGCCAATCGCCAAGGTGTTGACTAGTGTTCAGGATCGAATTACTACCACCGAGAAATTAACAAAAGATCAAGCCAAGGTTGTCGGGGAGATTTTGAGAGAGCAATTAGGCAACTTGAAAGATGCAAAGGATTTGACTGAAGATCGTATAAATGATGTCATCGACGCTTTACGCAAGAAATTTAACGGTGAGGGATGTTGTGAGAAGTATGAGAAAGTGGAGCACATCGTCAACGACAGAGAGTTGTAGTTGAACTGACATTATAGCATAGCAAGCATACCCAGTAGTATGAAAGTGTAATTAATTTACTCATTATCAAAATTTAAATATTTTTCATAAATAAAATTATTTGCCTGTAACTAAGTTGTGCATAACCGTCACTGTTGCACGAGCCGCGTGGTTCAACGTGGTTACGTCAATATTATGATCGCCTAACGCCACACACCATGCCTTTTATCTAAATTAGTCATTACACATTCTATTTTCGAGAGAGAAAACCAATGTATGAAATATACGTGTGGGGAGAAGGCTTGGGATTACCCTCGATAGATCCTGGTTGTCTGGCTATAATTTCGTACTTGCAGCTCGTCGCACCCGGTGAATATGGTATAATAGAGTGTAATAATCCCAACGTGTCAATTACAGGTTAGTGAAATTTACTCTACAACAAAAATTTTTCCTGCATACTCAGTCTGTTGTGAATTTAGGGGAACTACCGCTTTTGAGAGTCGGTAGTGAATGGATCGCTGGTGTCGAGAATATTATAAAACATTTGAGTAAAGAGGTATTATCATTGGGTATCCAATATGTTTCTGCCCGTCCCAGGTAGGGAAGGGAAAGGCTATTTTTTTTTTTTTCAAAACCTTCATTCAACGTGCTTCTCAACCAGGGTCGTGACGGTACGGATCGTTTAACTGATGTACAAAAGGCAGAAAGTCTTGCGTATGTCTTTGTTTAGTTTTAGTCTTAGTTGTTTGGTAAGACACTATCAGCTATGTCGTTTAATCCGAGTCTCAAGCCTACCTCGTTTTTGCTTTTAGATTTATGACTCTTATTCAAGAAGATGTCTATGACGCATTCGTGAGTTTTGAAACTGTTACTCCATGGTGTTCTTGTTTCACCATACTTTAAACTCTATGCACCTGTTGTTGTGAACGCGAGTGATGACAGATCTGACTGTTTTATGGATAGCTGTTCTCGTGGTATATTGATTCGAAAAACTATTCAGAGGTCATTCGGCCGCTCTTTGGTAGACTATTGCCACTGAGTGTGAGATATATAATTCCGCCTCAAGTGCAAAAAATGGTTGAGGAGAGGTTGGCGAGATTCAAAAAGGTTTCCAATGGTGATGAGAAGCGAGCTGTTCATGATACGAATAGTGTATGTTGATTGATTCCCAATAATGTGACGAATGGCGATTTCTTAAGGCGCCTTGTCGTTTTATGTGAACGATACTTAAATTAAGAGCAAGTATGAATAATCACAATTAATACTTTATTCAGATATACGCAATGCAAAGGGATTTGTACGACATATTGGCAAGGAAACTCGGAGAAAATGATTATCTTTTTGACGGCTCGTAAGTACAAGACTTGTCTAATTTTATTAGCACGATCTAATGGTTGGATAGAGCGCTAACCGATATACAGCGCCCCGACAACGCTAGACACGGTAGCTTATGGTTATCTAGCTCTTCAGCTATACCCCCGTCTTCCCAACCCAGTTCTATCCGACATTCTTGAAAACGATTATCCTCAATTAGAACGATTCTGTAATCGGATGAAACATCATTTATTTCAGGAACAGCTACCGATTATTCAAGCAGTTGAGCTGCCTTCGATGTTTACAGGATTGTTGGTATCGCCTCGTTCGTGGTTTACCAACACTTTTCGGAGCCAAAGAGATGAGGCGAAGAAAGAAAAGTCTCAAGCTCAGTTGAACTTTGAGAGGAAAAGGTTCTATTCAATCTTTGGTGCAGTAATGTTTATGATTGTATACACCGTTTGGAATGGTATTGTTACTATAGATATAGTGAGCAGTGAAGATGGGGAAGATGAAGATGAGAATGAAGAAGAAGAGGAACAAGAAGAAGAAGATAGTGAGAACGATGAAGAAGAGGATGGAGAATAGGAGACGGATGAAAGGCTATGATATGAATGAGTCGGGCTGAGGAATAGTTGGTTTCATTCAAATAAAGAAAAAGATGAGTAGCCAGTTGCAACAAGATATTTTCATTTCAACTCGCAATGCTTGTTGCGTGTCCACGTTAAAAGACCATACCTGTGAATTGCTCGACAATTCAATCTGTCGGTATGAGCTTCCGTTTGTAGGAATTTGCGATAGCCATAATACGCATCGATTTATCGTTAATTGATTAGCCGAGCTCCAATCTTCGCTTTTGCATTTGCGTTCGGGTATTGAAATCTAAATTGACTCTACCAAGACTCGAACTCATCTTTGTATATAAGCAGTATTCAAAGAGCTCGACATTATTAAGTGGTAGGTCTCCTTTTATTAGCTAGTATATGAATGTGATATCATCCCCACAACGTTTATGACACGAGTTCGCGTAGATATTTATTTAATATCATTATTATTATGCTAATATAAATACTAATACGCGAAAATTGGTTCTTAACTGATTTTCCTGATTGATCGCCATTTGTGTAACGTTGTCAAATTACGCAATTTAATCTCGAAATGCCGGAAAGTTGTCTTTGCTTTCAAGACTTGTAAAAAACTTTTCTTTGAGGGACTTTGCTGCAGCTGCAAACTTTGAAGACTTGATTGCTACCCTACTCTTAATTTGGCTTACTTTTTTCCATGCACTTCTTATCTTATTTTGTGAAACAAATAATCTAACACAACTGGTCTCATTACCTATTAGTAAATGAGTTTTTGGTGTCATACTGAATCACGGGATCAATTGCATATTCTTATAAAAAAACGGTTTTCTTTTTCTTCGCTCATTATCCGCAGTACCAAAAGCATTCTTCCAGTATTCCAAGGCGAAAAAAAAATACTACCCATGTCAGATGAAACAGCTGCCCAACCTCCCCCAAACTCAGTGCCCATGGAGGGTGAGGTGCCTAACAGTGAGATAGAATTACCTGTTCATAGTCAAGAGCAAACCGAAGCTCAAGAAAGTGTACAAACGAATGATCAGTTACTTATACCCTCTACTTCAGACCCATCAACTCAATCGGTTGAACTACCTCCTGTCCCTGTTAATGAGCCCAATCATGAACCTTTTACTCAATCGTCTTCCTATGTAGAGATAAAGCCCCCAGAGATAACCCATACTAATACCAATGTTGAACCTAGCATTAATAATGATATAACTAGTGTTTCATCAACCGTAAGCCAAGACACTACTCAAATTGAGGTTACTGGAAAAGAGCCTTCAACCTTAGGTCAAGAGACAGTTCAAAATGAAGTTACTGGGAAAGAGCCACGCAAATGGCGCCATCGTCGTTCACCTAATGATAAGAATGACAATAAAGCACCATTTAATTTACGCAGACTTTCTGATGCTGATTTTCAAGCTTTGCCTCCAGGGTCTCGTCTGTTCCTTGGGAATTTGTCTACTCATTCTACTTCTAAGAAAGAACTTTATGACATATTCTCGCCATATGGGGAGATTTTGCAAATATCTATCAAAAATAGTTTTGGTTTCATTCAATACGATAATCCAGACAGCGTGGTCAAAGCAATTACTAAAGAAAACGGAAGAGTATTGCATGGATTGAAATTAGGTGAGGCCTTTCGTTAATTGCTATTCTCTAAACGATCAATTCATTATTTTGCTCGGTAATAAAATTTCTCGTTTTCCTTTGTATTGTGTGTGCTTGCCTTGTGTAGGACTTGAGATTTCATATGGTAAACCATGGCACCATCCTCCGCAGGGTGAGGGACCCAAACAAGCACATGCGCACAGGCCAGACAAACATTGGGCTCAGAGAGGTTACAAAGATGAATGGTACGGAGGCGAGCGCGCCTTCTCCCCTCCACGTGGACACCAAATGCCTCCGTATACTGATAGACGTTATGAAGAATATGAGCACCGACCAAACGAATATCGGCGTACTTCGTATGACGGCAGACCCGGTTATGAATACCAAGAACATAGAGACTACCGCACACCTCCTGATTACCGCGAAGAATATAAACCTGAACATGAATATCGACCTCGCGACGAGCGCGCCGGGTATCGGCGAGGCGCCTTTCGTGAAGAGCACCGCGAAGAGCGATATCGAGCGAAACCTTACAGAGTCCCTTCGCGTGATTATGTCGATCGACGTCAAGGTCGAGAATATCCTCCATATCGAGGTCATGCTCACGACGAGCCCGATGAAGACTTCCCTCTACCAAGGCGTCAGGGTAATGAGGTGCCCGAGTGTCAGATTATCGTGTTGGAAGAAATTGAACGGTAAGTATTTTTGAATAATTATTATATGTTGTCGCAAGCCATGATTTGACTTTTTTTCTTTTTTTTTCTTTACTCTTGAATAGTAATTTTATATGGCAAGTTGAAACTGCATTCCGTGAAGCAGCCATTACTGTTCACATATTACATTTGTCAAGAAAGAAGCTCCCAATACCGGCAGTAATTCGTCAAATGATCGTTGAGGGTGTGCATGCTGTCATCTTCTTGGAACGTCATCACGAAATTACCGCACGCGTCAATATGCAGATATTTGACCAATCGCGTGCTGCACGAGACAGCAATGTAAAGTATGACGGTATGTGTTTCGCCCGTTTACTCGCTTTGACTGTTGACTATCACAAGCTTTGTAGTTGATAAACAATTGCTGATTACGTTTTGAAACTTCCCATTGTTTAGAATATGAAAACATTAGAATTGAGGAAGCAGTCGGCCTTCTACTTCGTGCCCGGGCCATGCAAAGACCCGGTGATATTCGACCTCCTGATAATCTGTTGCTTGGCCAGCCACCAATGCAACCGCCCCAAACAATGCCGCTCGGACCTCAACCGGGAGGAGCCAACCCCAACCCAAATCTTTTGGGTAATGTTAATTTTGCTGCGCTGGCCAATCTACTCGGGAGCCTTCAACAGCAGCAGCCGGGTGCAACTGGCCAACCAGTGCAACCAGTGCCAATGATACCGCCAAATACCATACAACCGCCAGGTTCTATACAACCGACGCAGCCGACAGGAATGTTGCCACAACAGCAACCACCTAATATTGATGTTCAACAGCTTTTAAGACAGCTTGCTCCCCAGAATCCGGCTGTAAACGTAAACAATCAACCATCATTTATTCCAGCTCCACATCCCATAGGATCGAATCTAGCATCGAACCTGGGTCCACCACCCACACATTTTAATCCTCCAATGGTGGGACAACCACCAAACGCTGTTCCTCCTAATACAATGCAACCCAGTATGACATTGTCCCAGCAGACGCAGCATCCCACGTCAAATATTCCACAGTTTACAACTCAAATCAATCCACCTGCAAATGTGACTGATCTGATGGCACAATTGAATCAGTATAGCAATCAGCATTGACATCTTGCCGATGATTGAGAAAACTCTTTTCCTCGTTCCACTCCAATTTTTCGCTCATTGTTCTCATGCTTTGGTTATAGCATCCGCGTCTTATCTCTCTATCGTCTGCGATTGGGTTGCGTATTATCATCTTGGATACTAGAGTGGATGCATGTGTTGCTTTGCGTTTGTGCTGCATATTGAATAATGAGTTTGTGTGAACCTGTAATACCAAAATGTAGATAGAATTTTCTTTATTGTATAGGATGCTACGTTATTGCATATCTAATTGCTTGCCAAGTTTAGTTGTCATATGCACGAATGGGTGATTGGACAGACTTTCCATAATAGATAATATTTCTTAACTTGCAGACCCTTGATTCGGCCCGTTCGATATATTCAACCTACATCAATTTCATTCGTGCTGTCCTTTTCCTATTTCCTTCATATTATTCTCCCCAATAAATCCCCATTTGATCCTCCGGTTTATGTACATAAATATCCGCTAGCTTTGCGACACGTGATTTCTGTGTACAAAAGTAGGATGTGTTCTAAGGTTATATAGCCGAGCCGACTAACCATTTTCGCTCCCAGGCGATCTACAGTCAATGAAGAAAAAAAAAAGTCCAACAAAAATACGCCATCTATTTTTTTTTTAAAAAAAGAAAATCGTAGATGTATAGATGGTCACTTGGAATGTTTAGCATTCTGAATCAAATAAAATAATTATATTCGTTGTACGTAGCAAGTCGGTAAGAATTGATTTTCATGCCCTGTCGAATGAATGAGAACTTTACAAAATGACCCGTTCCATTTCACGCACAAGATTTGATACAAGGTCGAATCACAGTTTATTCCATCAAAAAAGCAAAATGTGTGCTACCAAGAAATAAAAAGAGTTTCAGTATCTGGAAAGGAGAGCTGGTGTATGATGGTTTGCAGAGTCCAATGTTTCCTGTTACGAAATGGAAGACTTGGATACGTTCCTAAGAGTCAGCAGCCGCTTTAATTACTAACAAACAGCTGTATCGGCTTTCTGCTAACTGTTTAGAATTGACATGGAAACGCACGCCATTATTATGACATGTGCCAGGTCGATCATCATTCTTCGAATGCAGCAGCTCGAATGATCTTTACATTATCTTTTGGTCTATGAATCGATGTCAGAAATTTTAGCGTCATTTATATTATTGAGTAAGAATCCCATTCGTGTCGTGCCCGGCTTACCGATCATTAGAATCCGTTGCAACCAAACCCATACGCCTTACAATCTTCATGCCCTTGGAAACGCGGCCGAATATTGCGTGCTTGGCTTTTTGTTGAAAGCAAAATAAATTCCTCGATTAGCGTTTTATATCGATCGCTGAATATTAATATTAGCAATTACCATCTAGCCATGGAGTAGGTGCTAACGTGATGAAAAACTACAATATAAACCGTACGATTCGTTAGTTCAAGACTGCGCGTGTTGATAAACAAACACCTTCCCATATAAGATTAGATTCGTGCCTGACTGCCGTTGGTATTAGGTCCTGAGTTTGCCATACTCAAAATTCCTGCTCCCGTGTGCTTCAAATCAGGGTGAATTTCATCTTCGAATTTGTCCCTATTTTATGTAGACGGAAAATGTTTCAAGTTTCTTATAATAGGTAATATCTATTATAAATGGACATTGACCGCAAAGGGACAAGCTCTACGATACCCATAGATAGACGTTCCACCTCTTCCTGTGCCAGTGGGATCACCTCCTTGAATTACAAAATCCTACGTGTCCAACCGCAAATAAGTATTCGTCGGGATGGTCACCTGAAAACATATGACCATCAATACTTACTGGAATAATTCTATGAAACTAAAGAATAGAAGAATGAGTCTGCGTAATCAAGTATAAGCGTCCCCAGTGAATCTACTTACTATGACATTGTTGTAACGACCACGTTTAGCCTATCAAGATCGTTTAGTCAACGCTTTCGTGTTTTGCTAATCCAGAACTCTCACGTATCGCTATAAGTTTTCGAAAAGAGCCAACTCACCAATTCCCAGAAGTTCTTACAGGTCTTGGGCGCATGGTCCCAATACAACTCGATGGTTATTTCACCCTAGCGGTATATCAGACAGTAAAACAATCAGTAATTCAAAAGTGGTTTGGAGTATTTTGGCGACAAAAAAGAGAGATATTAACCATGGAAGTGTAAAGAATCACGTACGGTCGGCCAACTTCTTCATCAGCCATACTCACTCGTTTTTGATGGAAAACGAAACCCAATTTTTTTCCCAATTGGTGATTTTCTAGAAAATTTTGTTGATCGTCGATCTACATGGTATTAGTATATATTAGAAATCTCTATATTTTTACATAAAGGATATTATATAAATATTTTACATTAGTTACTTATTATTATAAAATTTTACAAGAAGAACGAAGTAAAAAGCAGGATAAACATGTACCATCAAAACAAAAGGCAAAATATCTGGATAAAGAAAACAAAACTTATTATGATGTCGGAAGTCATAACTTAACAATTGATGTGAAATTGTCTGGCAACGAGATTTTAACAGTTGATAATTTAAATTCAATCATCACATTTCATGTTCTAACACTTTGAGGTAGTTTATGATGTAAATTTAAACTTCGTAACAGCCATTTCTACGGTCCACCCTTTAGTTCTTGTCATATGCGATTTTTTTCTCCAAGTAAACTACTCACCTGTTGTTGTCTTTTTGTTTTACTAATTAATGATAGGCGAGCAATAAAGTTTTGTTACCAAGTCTAATAATCGGAGAATTTGAATAAAAGACGTCAACTGTTGCAAAAATCGCAAAGAAACCGATTCATAAGAAAGAATGTGTGGCCCGAGCGAATGATTTCATCAATGAAATATATATCACGTGAACGATTTACGCGTTACTTATCAAATATAACGAGTATAGCTGTTCATACCGACCATATTTAAAAATCGAACCGGTAACTTTGTCACGGAGGATAGAATTATCGGTCGGTTTTAATTTTAAAAAATTTCAAGTCATGCTATTTTATTGTCGAGTTACGACTTCCGGCATCATTCTTCTTTTTTGCAAAGTTATTTTAAGAGCGAAATTTAACTATTGCTATGCAATTTTAAAATATGTGGCATGAGCCACTGAGAATGAGAACATGTTTATGTTTTGAATGCGCAATATTGTCAGAAAAATTCATAAGTTTAGTTATTGTGCGAATTATAGAGACGTTTTGCTGGCAGAATGGCGTCCCGTAGTTTTCTTTCATAATCTGTTTCAAAAGCTCGGTATTCTTGTCCTTCAAGCTCAGCTTTTTTAGCCGCAACTTTAGCAAATTTTTTTCCAAGTTTTGGAATTTTGGCTTCTTCTTTTTTAAATTCAGTAATCTTGGATGCAAGCCTAGAGTTTAATTCTCTCAAGGTGTTGATTGTTAATTAATCGTTCGACATTGTTTTATTATTACAAAATAGGATATATTCAAAAGATTAACCGCACAAAAATATTTTTAAAATTGCATTAACATGCTTAGCTTTATTGATTGTAATAATATACTATTGTCTACACCATAAGTCTAAATATCTGTGTTAGCACATTATAATCTGGTTTTCGTTTGCTATCGATATTCTGCATAGAATAAAAATGGTTATCAGTTATATCTGTACGAAACATGCGGTGGCAAATGAATTAACAATTCCGCCAATTTGTTATACTCATTTTGTTGGTGAATATATACCAGTCTGTCGTTACTGGTTATCTCATCATACTTTCTATCTCCTGGCTGGATAAAATAATATTTAATAATATTATTAATAGTTTTGTAATGTTAACTAATGAGTTTCTTGTTTACCATGTACTCCTTCCTTGCTGTTTTATCAGCACTAATGCTTTTCATTTTTTTATAAATCTTCATATTAATAGCACAGTGTGTTGCGACGAAAAAAATGGCAACTTGTATTTCTCAACAATTACCCAACTGAGACAAATAAAAGCAGACTTATTTTAACTACTTTATTAAACGTAAAATTTTAATACAAAACTAACTAAATTTCACGAGGAACGGGGAAAGTCATGTTTTTTGTAAGACTAGTTCACAACGAGTTTTCATATATCCGATTAACATCCCCACTCTTCTACCATAAATTGCTACATGACTAACACGTAGGAATGGCGAGAGCTTGCTACTCTCTCGAGAAGCACATCTAAAAGTCTTTAAAAAAGCTAGAGATAATGTCTACGACATAGGTTCCCTCGTATGGATTCGACTTGGCCATTCCAGCCAATCTTCTTCTCTTCACTTGTTTGAAGCCTA